GAGAAGAGTAGTGTTACCTTAGAGTAGGTAGAGGGAAGTGAAGGGAGGAGAGGAAGAGGGATATGGGGATAGAAAAGATAGTAGAATTAAACAGACATTATTATTGTATGTATAGTGTACATGACCGATATGATTCTACAACATGTACACTCAGAAAAATGAGAAGTTACATACCATCTATGTATGATATATCAAAGTGCATAAATGTATTCTACTGTCATGTATAACTAAATAAAACAAATGAAAAATTTGAAAAAAAGAGTACATATGAAACTAAAAGAAAAAAATATTCCACTTAAAAATGGTCAGTGATCTAAAAAGGCACTTCTCAAACAAAAACAAATGGCAATAAATAAATGAAGAACTACTCACTAATAATGAGCCATGAGGGAAATGTAAATCAAAACTATAATGAGAAATCTTCTCACCCCACTTATAATGACTGTGTGAGTGCAGTGGCACAATCCCTTAATCCCTGACTCAGAAAGGGGGAGTTCAAGTTCAACGCCAATCTGGGCAATTTATCAGGACTTGTCTCAAAATAATTTTTTTTAAAAGAACTGGAGATATAACTTAGTGGTGAAATTCCCCTGGGTTTAATCCCCAGAGTCAAATAAATAAATAAATAACCTACCAGTGCTGGTAAGAATAAGGAACTCCTCTACACTTCTGGTGAGAGTGTAAATTAGTGCAGTCACCATGGAGAACAGTGTAGTATGGAGTTTCCACAAACAAACTGAAAATAGATCTAGCACATGATTCAGCCATTTCACTTCTGGGTGTTAATCAAAAGGAAAGCAAATCATCATGCAAAAGAGAAAGCTAGACAGTCATGTTAATGCAAAATTTTTCACAAGAGCTAAAATATAAAATTGGCCTAGGTACCATCAACAGATCAATGGAATTATAATCTGTAGATACACAATGGACTATTAGTAGACCATAAAGAAAATCCTTCTATTTGCAGCAAAATGAATGGTTCTGGAGGATCTTATATGAAATCAAAAAAGCCCAGACACTGAAAGACAAGTAGTGCATATTTTCTATCATACATAAAAGTTAAAAAGATTCAACCTGAATATAGAATAGTAATTAATAGTAGTTATGAAGGAAGGATGACTTGGATAAAGGAAAAGGATATTGGATTCTTGAATGCTAAATGCACATGTAGAAATACCACACCAAACACCATTAATATATGCAGTTAGTATGTGTTCCTAAGTAAAAATAAAATGTAAAATAGAGAAATTTAAAAAAAATCATGTCTGGCCCATAAAACTAATTTCTATGTATATTCCCAAGAGAAACAAGTGCTTATGTTCATACAGACAATGCCCAGAGAGGTTATCCCAGCTTTTTGGATGGGTGAGGCAGGAGGATCATAAGTTTCTGGCCACGCTGAGCAACTTAGAAATACCCTATCTCAAAATAAAATTTAAAAATAAAAGGGGATGTGGCTCAGAAATATTGTGTAACTAGGTTAAATCTGCAGTACCATCAAAAAGGGGTAAATAGAAATGAACAAAAAATATAAAAGGAATATTGTTCAAAATAGCTAAAATCTGGCAAGAATTGAAATATCCAATTATAGCAGAATATTGTAAAATAATGTGACATAATACTACACAAAAACAAAAAAGTTTCAACTACTGTTATGGGACAACATTAAAAAATGCCACAAAAATATGCTTAGCAAAAAATGTATTCCAGGGCTGGGGATGTGGTTCAAGCGGTAATGTGCTCGCCTGGCATGTGCAGAGCGCTGGGTTCGATCCTCGGCACCACATAAAAATAAAATAAAGATGTTTTGTCCACCGAAAACTAAAAAATAAATATTAAAAAATTATCTCTCTTTCTTCTCTCTTTAAAAAAATGTATTCCACTTGAAAGTGGCCAAGACATATCATAGTACTTACCATTAAGATTCCAGAATGTGAGGTTCAAAAAACTGAAATGAAAAATTCTCTAGGTTGTTAGAGATCAGAAAATTGGTTGCCTTTAAGAGGTTACTGACTGGAAAGAGAAGCCATGAGGGAAACTTCTAAGTGCTGAAAATATTCTTTATAAGAGTAGTGGATCATGCTTGGGTTTTGTTTACAGTGGAGATCCTAAAACAGAAGAGAAAACCAAAGTAGTCTATATTGGCATTGGGAGCTTTAAAAATAAACCTTTGTTAGGGGACATGATAACAAAGACCATGAGTGGGACACTAGAAAAGGTAAAAGAGGAAAGGAGGGAAAGCCAATACATGACGTTATCAGGCTGGTCACTGCTACAAAAACCTGGGATCTGATCTTTCTGGAGGCTTCTGATTCTCCACACTGATTTTCTCTGAACATCTACCTGAGAAATGAGAGGAGTACATATTCATGACTTTCCATTCATTCATTGTCAAGGATTGTCCACAGGTTGTTACACACTGACACTTGCAGATCTGAGCATTGACAAATGCTAAGTAGCTTCTCTCAGGAGTCCCAATCACATTGCAGGAAAAGTCTAGGGACAAAGGCACAGAGGATGTGACATGCAACTGAAGTGAGCCTCTGCCACAATTGCTTCAGTAAAATGGCACAGAGGTGTCTGCTACTGTCATGTTCTGTTGTCACACATGTACACAAAATTCAAAAATCAATCTTTCTTGTTTATTCCTAAGAAAGTCTCAATAATCCACAGCCTTACAGCCTTGATTAACTGTTTAGCTCTTCACGTGACCTAGTGGTAAAATATAAACATTGACTAATGTCAGTAGGTGTTTAAAGAGAAAATTTGCTGTTTCACTCTGTTTTAAATTGAGATTCTGGTGCCTAATGTAGAATGCTCACCTGCAGTGACAGCTATTTGTCTGTTGGAAATAATTTTTTTACCCACTACTTTAAGATAACAGGAAAACTCAATTTGATACTTTTAAGTAAAATATATTCATGTAGGGAGCTTTGTAGATGAAACTTGGCTGTAAATGGAGGATTTTGTCTGCATCTAGGCTATTCCCCCTAAATTCCCCCAGTTATTGTCAGCTTTAAATAAGATCTGCACACTGCATTTGTAATCTAATCAAACCTAATTTCATTTTGGAACTATTTTCACTGAATATGTCTGCTATACAAATAGTAAAAGCTAGATGTGTGATGAATGAAGGAAGGACAAGTGAATTCAGGAATGAATTTTTCAGGAGGAAATCCATGGAACAATTTCTTACAGGTGCTATGTCACCTGCACCTGGTCTGTTTAGATGTTCCCCTTTTCCTGGGTTCCCTCTTCTCAGATGCCTAAGCAAAATTAGGCTAAGTCCCTTTCTCTGAATTAATTTCAAGTAAGTCCTTCCAGGAAGATAAGAACAAAAGAAACAATGAAAACAATAAACTGCACAATCAAATTGGGTAGGCAAAATTTTCAAGATAAGAACATGGTGATGATCTTTTTTCCTTCCAATACTTCATACTCAATATGCACCTGCTGCATAGTAAGTGTATAGTAGTTGCCTAAGAACTATTTGTTACATCAGTTTATAGATTTTAAAGTAACTGAAGTCTGTCATGAATGTCTTAACTCTCACTGTCAGTTGGGGTCATTAGTCAGGATTTCTGAATTTCTCATTTGTCTACCTGTGAAAACTTTTATCACTTCAAATTAAGTACTCACAGTGTTTTTGCAATCATTCATAGATATGTACAAAGTGGTGCAAAATGGGAGTTAAATGAAGAACTTTCGTATGAAAGTAAAAAAAAAAATGTCTTCAGGTTTTACTTCTCACTATAGGATGAGCATCCTGTGTGGCCTAGTGAGTGCCACATTTTTCATAGTTTGTGCTCTTTGTTACTGATATTGTCAATTTAAATGGCCCCAAACACATCTCTAACATGTTATCTAGTGTTCATAAACTGAAGAAGGCTGTGATGTGAATAACAGAGGAATAAAGTATTTTAGATCAGCTTTTGTTATAGTTATAATGCTGTTGTCTGAGAGTTCAATGGTAATGAAAAATGCAATACCATGGAAAAAGAAAGGTAAAATTGGTGATCAGTGGGTGAAGTTACTTTTTAAAATGACAACTATAATTCTGTGATAACGCTAGACAAACAACTAACTTTGGGGTTTCTTGAGATAACAGATTTGGGGGCGGGGTATGGTAGACAGCATTGTTAGAAGGTTGAAAGCCTAGAAAATTTGGGATCACATTAGTCAGGGACAGGAAATTGTTAAACACTTCTCTGATAATGCTTTTGTTCAAAGAAATACTGCAAACTATGAATTACTTATAAATATATATTAAATAAAATTATTAAACAAAATACACAAAAAAAGGTTATGTATTCATTAGTTAACAAAAATATTGTGAAAAGAAACTCAAAGAAAACTACCCACCTATTTACCCTAGGAGCATGGCTCAGAGTTCACTAACAGTGTTTGCAGCAGGAGCTGTAGAGAACATAACTGCGAGAATGCACCTTACTCACCTGGACCTACTTCAATCCTAAGGGCAGCACTTTGTTCATTCTTGATTCCCTCTTCAGTGATGCATATGGGCCATATTTCAGGAATCACTACACTGAGGTGCATCTCCTCTCAACCTTTAATATATCTGTGAATCATCTGATGATTTTGTTGAAATGAAAACTGAAATTCAGTAAGTCTGAGACCAGGCCACAGAGTCTATATTTCTACCAACACTCCAATGTAATGAATCTACTACTTAACCCTAAGTGACCCTGAATATGGAGGACCTTCATTCTTCCCTGCTCTTTTGGTTTAGAGCACTTGGAACAATAGTTTTATGCTAATATTTTCCTAAAATCAAATAACAGAAAAGGTAAGACGCAAAACTATGTTTCTCCTCAGAGACTCAGGAAAAAAAAAAAACGCAGAACTGGAATGCATGAAATCTCCTGGCAAAGCAAGAGTTTTAACAAGAAGAGCATCAAATATTTCAACTTCAACAAAGGTACAAAGAAGGCAGAGAATTAAAAATGTAAAACAAACAACAACAACAAAACCTACAAATCTTACGTAATCAACACAGGTTTTATTTTGATAGCATGTTTTATTCAGGCCAAACATTTCACCAGGGATACAGACACTCAAAAAGCATGTGCATTGCTCTCAAACTTTTAAAAGAAGAAATGAACCTACACACCTGCCACAGATGCTAGGCAGTAAGGGGCACAGTTGAAATCTGGGGATGCTCAAATGGAGGGGAGATGGCTTCCCACTGTGGATCAAGGAAGGACCCCTGGAGGATGTGACAGCTGAAATACATCTGATGATCCATTTTATTCATCCAGGCTGACACTGCTAACATCCTGTTCCATTCAGAGTTGAAGCCACAGAAGCCAGGTCAGAACAACAAATCCTGCAAGATTACATTGAGCACATATTGGTAAATGATCATGGAGCAGAAATGAATTGCAAAGTTTTAACAAGGAGAGTAGAAGTGATGTCATCACCCTGTGGTGTTCAGATGTAGACTGGGTCCTCACTTCAGAGGGCCAGAACTTCAGGGAGCTTCACAGTGTGTCCTAAGTGAACAAAAATATAACAGACCTTCATAAGGTGGAGTGAGAACTGAGGAGAAAATAGAAATGTGGCCAGGAGGAGAAGGAAAAGTGAGGAAAAAGTCAAAAAAAAAAAAAAGGGAAGACCATTGGGGAGAAGGAATGAACAGAATAGATGGATACAAAGAACTCACCAGCGTTTTCTAAACCAAAATCCAAGACCTGTCAGAAGAGCCAGGGCCACTATCATGGCAAAGAGGATCAAGCCCAGGGCACTCTGAGGTGCTGCAGATTCAAATGGATACCAGGAAGATGTGTCAATCTACATCTATAGATCCCTCATTTTAAATTTATCCATTCATTGAATTACATATTTTTCTTCTTTTTGGGTCTGGAATTTGTAAATCCCAATTTTTTACCTGGTCCTCATGCTCTCCTAGAAGATATCCCCCCATCTCCAGCCTGGGTCCCACTATTACCACCCCAGTGGAGGACGAGGTCCTGCCCTCCTAGGCTGCTGTGCTTCACCCTGCAGGCCAGGCCAGCCGCCTCCCCAGCTGTCACATCCAGGGTTGCTTGGAGATACCACGTCCCACCTGCATTAGGCAGGATGTCACCTCTCTGAGTGCCCCGTTGCTCCTGGTCACCCCGCATCCACATCACCCACACGGGCTTTGGGTAGAATCCAGACACATGACACACCAGCAGCAGATGGCCAGGCCCAGGGCTGTGACCTCTGGACAGCCAGGCCTCAGGCTTCACTGCAAACAACAGAAAGGACATCCAGACACAGACTGTAACAGATTTAGAAGTTTAGAACTCCCCATAAGTCTACAGAGACACATGTTTCCCACTCTGGAAAGGTCACACATTATCCTTTTCTCTATTTATCCTGAATTTGACTTTAAAATTGAAAAATTCTTGAAGATTGGGTACAAGACTGACCTAGTTGCTGGAGATGAGCCTTCCCTGCTTCTAGAAGACCCAAGGTGAAACGCGGGCAGGTGTCACTGAGGAGCCTATATAACCTCTGTGTGTAGGCTTCATTGAAATTGAGCAGTTTGCAGGCTTTCTGGGCCTTTTCTCCACCCTTTGGAGATGGTAAGAATGTTTCATTCTGGAAGCTCATGAAGTCATGTCCTTGGATAGCTACCTGCTTGAAGCCTAGGAAGCCCTTCCCAGAATGCAGTTCACAGCCTTCGGTCACCTGCAGATCAAAGGGATCTGGGGAAGAAGAGTAAAGAATTAGAGGAGAAAAGAAAAAAAAAATGGAGAAAATGGAATGAGTGGAGGCAAAAGAAAACACAAGCAGAAGGGGGTTTGGGGAGTTTAAGAGAAAGAACCCAAGTGTGGTCTGATCAGAGGTTCACAGAAAGGCTACTGGTAGGAGCTAGAGGTGGAGGAAAAGATGACAATATCAGGAGGGGAGGGAATTGTTTGAAAGTGATAATGATGGTGTGGGAGAGAAAAGCCTTAATGTGAGAGAGCTGAGACTCTAACAAACAGCCAGCTGCCATCTGGGAGATTGTATCCATGGTCACTCTGACAGTTTACACAAGGATGACTGAAGAGATTAAATGGGAGAGAAAATCACCCTTTAAGGAGTCACCCAACAAGTGAGGAAGCTGAAGGTACCTTATTGTAGATTGGGGAGAGTGGCCACAGGCTGCCTCTGAGGTGAGTTAGTAAAACACAGCCCTGCAGCCAATAAGAGAACAGTTAATAAGTGGTAAAAACAGACGTTTTTATCTGGTTGTTTATTGTACGTGCCCAGAGTGTGATTGCAGTTTTATGCTGAAGAGAGTAGAATAAGTTTCAGAGCAGAGAAGGCTGTTTCCCTGAGGAATAAAAGTTCCCTGAGATGCCCCACCCTCATCCCTTTATTCTCCCCAACAATGAAAGGGAACTCACCTTTAAACATTAATTGAGAAATATAAAAGTCCTGATGTTCATTGAAGTATAACTGGAACAACCTTTCCACATCCATCAACTCCTTGTTACTGAAGTTGCCCCTGGACCAGGGATACAGGTAAATGATGGTATTAGAGCTGCTGTTCCATCTGTGAGTCTGCAGCTCCCCCAACCAGCCTGAGCCCACATGTACCCAGGAGTGGTTGTGAAAGGATGAGGTTTGCATGAGATGGTACGAGATAGACTCCTCAAACCCTGTGGCAAAAGAATAGATAGAATGGGGAGAAATGTGACATTGGGAGAGAGAGACTTGAGAAAGTACGTGCCCCCATGGGAAGACTCAGAATCTGGAAAAGTGGAGAGCCACCGTTACCTTAGCTGACATCTGCTGGCCCCCAGGGTCCCATGCTCTACCAACAGCCTCCATGAGAGCACAGAGGGCTTGAGTAAGAACATGCAGAATGGGGCCAACTTGGCACTCGTTCTCTCCAGGTGTGTGCAGGGGAAACTACCATCACCACACACACACACACACAAACTGGTCAGTTGCCCCTGTTCTTACCACTGTCACCTCCTGGGAAGAGAGCAGCGAGCAAGGGGAGTAGCAGAAACAGCATGACCCTTGCAGATGCTACTTCTTTCTCTCAGAGAAGTCGTCCTTTGATTTCTGTTCTAAATAAACCTACCCCACAGACCACTCTTCTGACTTCCTTATTCAACCAAAAGACAAAACTTTTCTGCCTGAAACAAAGACAATCTGCTCCCTCCCAAAACCCTGAGCACCTACTCTGTTTCCCATTTCCCCTGCTATTCTGACTCTCTGCCCAGTGTTCTAACTTCTCTCACTGTCACAATTTCCATCCTGGTCATCTTCCCCTAGTTCAACTGCTAAGGAACAAGTCACATGTGACTCTGAAAAGTCCCTTACCACAAGGGGTACTTCTTTTATTGCTGAGTATGGAACTCAGGATCTTAAGTATTTTCTCTTATTGTAATAACTTTGAATTATCCCCCATGTGTCGTCTTCCCTGCCCCACCCCGACTGCACCTCATTCATATCTCTGACATCACTGGTTACTTTATTTCCTTTTTCAGAAGCCCCTATGATTATTCTCTGAAACAGTGTCATCTACTGAGTCTGTGGATCATGTATCCAGGGCTGGCTCTTTGGGGCATGCAGCCACTTGAGTAATACACTCAAAGTTCCATGATTAGCACCTTGAATTCATAGTAATTTTATTGAATTAGTGTTTCATAGTGAAGTTCAAGGAACCTTGCATGGGAGCTCATAGGAGCCTCCTCAGCTTATGAAGGGTTCTTCCTCCCACAACCTCACCTGCATCCTTAGCACTCCTCCACCTGCTCCCCACTGTCTGGGGCCTTGGCAACTCTATACTCTGCCTCTCCACCTCCATCCTGCCACCACAGCACTGACCACGTCTCACTGAAGGCCCCTTATGTCATTAGCCCTGTCACTATCTCATGCCTTGCAGGCACAAACAGAGAAAGGGACATACACCGAATAGTGTGTGGGCCAAATATAGGTGCAGCTATCCCCTCCAGAGTTTGCACCAAGTAGTTTTGTAACTGGTCAGGGTGAGCCTCTTGCCCACTCTTGTTCCAAGTACCACACGCATCTCCACATAATTTCGTTCCAGTTTCTCAGTGGTTACCCATGTGCCAAGAGTTGGAGTAACCATTGAGGAAAGGGAGATTAACTTCCCCTTCAGTTCAGCAAAGGCAAAGATCATTAGAACAACTAGGGAAGGAGGAACCAGGCAACCAGTGGGTGGCTTGCATGAAGTCATGAAGTGGGGCCCCCAAGTGCCTAAGAGTCCTGCGATCATCCTGTGAGTGTCCCTGTGCCCAAGGGTTGCAACATTAGGAAGCAAAATAAAAGCTCAGAGACATACCTTCCATAGAAATGAAACAGTTTTGTACATTAGTCATTAAGAGCACTCCCTGAAAGAGTATCTTGAACACAAACCTGCTATGATCTGAATCTGTATGTCTTCCATAAATTCATATGCTGGAATCCTAATCACCCATGTGATGATATTAGGCAGTGGGACCTTTGATGAGTGATTAAGTCATGTTGTTTCAACCCTCAGAAATGAGATCAGTGCCTCATTTATACAAGGGACTCCAGAGAGATCGAATAATCCTTCCACCGTGTGTAGACATTCTGAAAGTGCCTTTGATGAATCAAAATATAGGTTCAACTACAAACCAAATCTACCTTGATCTTGAACTGTCCAAAAATATTTTGAAAAATAATTTTTATAAATGTTTTTTTAAAGAGAGAGTAAGAGAGAGAGAATTTTTAATATTTATTTTTTAGTTTTCAGCAGACACAACATCTTTGTTTGTATGTGGTGCTGAGGATCAAACCTGGGCCACATGCATGCCAGACGAGCTCACTACCACTTGAGCCAAATCCCCATCCTGAAAAATAATTTTTAAAATAATGTGAAAAATAATTTTCTAGTTGTTATAAATTGCCCAGTGTCATGAAGGAGCAAAATTGTGATGTATGCAGTCGAGGGGAGAAATAAACATACTTCTGCCCCTTTCAATACTTTATTCACTCAAATTACTCAATACAATTTCACTCTATAGGTTCTTAATCTAGAAAATGACAATTCTTAATGCTAGTCACTGCAATAGACATAATCAATTTACAGCAAACAATTCTACATTAATTAATTCACAGAAAATGATTCTAGATTAATTCTAAGCACTGCAAACACTTAATTATGACAGGCTAATGACAGACATTTCTTCTACATGCTAAGTTCAAAAGTCTCAAGCCTTAGGCTTTATGTCCAGCAGATGCACACTCACTTAGACTGCAGTAACCAAGTCCAGAACCAGGACAGGCTTTTCTTGGCGTGGAGTGGATGACTGATTGAGGAGAGGGTCATAGGGAGGAGTTGCGGTGCTCACTGAGGTCCAGATGAGGTGGTAGAGTTTAAGAGCGGTGAGGATAACACAGAGGATTAGGAAATAATGACAAGTGATGGGGTGTCAGGTCCTCATCAAGCCCTCCAGCTCGGCTGGCTGAATCTCTGTTCATTTGCTCTATTATTTATACTAAATTTTGGGAATTTTGACCCCCCTTTTCAATTCTTATCAGCTACCACCAGATTTCTCAGTAACATCATTTGCCCTGGGGTCAGAAACATCTGGTCTGGTGAGCTCCACTCTGATCTTCTTGCCTTTCCCTCTTATCAGTTGAAGACAGCTTGCCAGGGGCTTCACTCTGTTTATCAGGGTGAGGGCTCTGAGGGTGTGCCTGGGGAGACTGCAGGTTTCAAACTGGAATTTTTAAAATGGAGTTGCTTAGGCTCAGGCCTCAGGCCATCCTTACACCCAGTCTATGGCATGCTCTAATAGCAGCTAGAATGGCTAAGACAATGCTCCACATTTTCACTTTTCCCTGGATCACACAAAATATATGACTGCTGCTCTTGCGTGTAGGGTGGGGAAAGCAAGGAGAAGATAGTTGATTTGGGGTAGGAAAGAGAGGGAAGAAAATTAACTAAATAATGAATAAGGTTTGAGGACCAAAATGTTGTGAACCAATAATGGAAACAGAGGACATATTAGACGCAGGAGAAGGAGGATGAGGTGTGTTTTAGTGAGCGTTTTTTCTCCTGTAACCAAAGGACCTGACAAGAACAATTTGAAGGAGAAAAAGTTTATTTTGGTCTCACAGTTTCAAAGCTCTTAGTCCATAGATGTCCACCTTCACTCCTCAGGTCCCAAGGTGAGGCAGGACATTGTGGCAGAAGAATGTGGCAGAGGAAAGCAACTCTGGACATGGCCCAAAAAGCAGAGGGAGAGAGAGAGAGAGAGAGAGAGAGAGAGAGAGAGAGAGAGAGAGAGAGAGAGAGCGAGCGCTCCACTCATCAAGGACAAAATATATGCCCCAAAGGCACACCCCCAGGAACCCACCTCCCCAGCCACACCTACCAGCCCACAGTTACACTCAGATAGTCCCTGTCTGGGGATTTATGTACTGATAGGGTTAAGGCTTTCATGACCCAGTCATTTCACCTCCAAACCTTCTTGTACTGCCTCACACATGAGCATTTGGGGGACACCTCATACCTAAAACATAACAAGGGAGGCATAAAGGGAATGGAAGAGGAATTCAAAGTTTATTCTCCCCTCAACTTTCCCCTGACAGAGTGGCTCCTGGTGAGGATGCAGGTAGCAGCTGGTGCTTGGGTCAGAGTCCCACTGAGGATCTGCAGCTCCCCAGTCCACTGCACCCCTGAGTGAGCTCTCAGCTGTGGAGGGGGAAAGACAAGGTCTGAGGAGGAGAAAGGAAAGGATGGAGACCATTGGGAGCTGCCTGGGGGATGCTGAGAGCTGGGGAAGCTGAGAAAGAGCAACACTGTTGAAGTGGCCCCCCTTTCTCCAGAGAAAATCCCTCTTCACCATGGCTGATTTTAGGACTGTCAGCAAAAGAGTCTCTGTGAAAGAGTCCAATGTAGATAAACTTCCTATTTTCATGTCACCCTGTTTTACTTGGCCACTGGCCGGGAAGATACCAGCACTCCAGGTGCTGGACACCCCCTTATTAGTTTTTCACAAACATATCCAGTATAGTACTTTGTAGAAATGTGCAAACAAGGCCTTTGGCTTTGAGCTGGGCTTCACACAGTTGTCTACATTTTTAAGATAAGTTACAATTGGAATCCATGGTAACAGCTGGCAGGGGGAGGAAAGAAAGGGGAGAAGAAGCTCTCCCCTTCTCAGGTGTTGTCCTTGAAGGGTTAACTTGCCCAGAACAGTGAAAGAAAAAGCTACTTTTATGTGAAATTCTGCAGACTGGGAATTTATGAGCCCTTCCCCTTACATGCTGGGTATAAAACTCTGAAACTGCCTGAACTCGGGGTTCAGGGGATTAATTGATTACAGCAAAAGCTGTGTCACCCGAACCTAGAAGTAGCCAAGCAAAACTGTTTCCTGCTGTCTTCGGTGCCCTTCCTCATTTGTCCCTACAACACTGTAAGAGAAAGTCAAGAGACAAAATAGGTGGGAAGTGACAAGGATCAGAAAATAAGAGAACACCTTTGACAGAGGAGATGTTATACAGATCACTGAGAGTGGTGTGCTCCCTGGTCACAGGAAAACATGAGGAAAATCCAGGTGATTAAGAAATATGCCAAATAGAACTCAACAAGGTGAGATTTGCACCTATCTCAGGGGTATCCAGGATTCTTCCCTTTGTCAAAAGCCCTTTCCTCAGGGTTCCTCTTCTTGAATCACCATTGCTTAGGGAACAAGCATGCTTATGTTCTTCCTAAAATGCCTCATGGTTGCTCCCCTGCACACCACCACATCTCCTGATTTTCTCCTTCCCCACACAGCTTTCCTCAGACCCAGACATGAACTCCCCTCTCCCACAATATCACTTTGCCATCTGACTGCTCCCACCTCACCAACACAAATCTCAGCTTCCCTCCCTGAGAAACCCCCTTTCTGTCAAACCCTTTGTAAGGTCATTACTTAGCATCTGCATAGCCATCTTAAGTGATAGCCACCATTTTTCTACTCAAGAGACTTTCCAGGAAAAGCTCACCACTCCTTCATACCAACCCCACCCTTAACTGTCCACATTAAAACACACTGACTCTAATCCCTGAGCCTCCCCCAGAGAATTCTTGAACCCCAAGTCTGTGTTTCCTCTCTCAGTCTATGGAGAGATGGCCTTTTTTTGTCAGCTCTGACAAATAAACTCTCCTGTGTATCTCTGCCTGGTCTCCATTTTTCCTTTCTGGCTCCCCTGTCTCCTGGTTCTTCATTTTCCTTTCATTGTTGCCAAAACTTGGGATCATGTTCCCCGGTGTGCTTGCTCCCCTCTTTGAGGTTCACAGAGCATCCCCAGGCCCTGATCCAAACTCCATTGTGAAACCAGGCCCTCCAT